GCCACAATCCCAGAAGATGCACACTTGAGATGTAAACCTCGTTACATGTATGTAATTAAGAATGGAGTTAAAGGATGCACTGGCCTTTTAGTGAAAAACAAGAATAAAAATTTCAGACCAGAATTCCTAAGAATATTGGTGATAAGTGAAATGATGACCGTGGGTGTTCAACAATAAAAATGGATGAATTGATGGTAATAAACAGTGGTGTTTGTGTGCCACGTGAGCCCTTGTGTGCGTGCAAACGCGTTTTACACAAGTCCCCTCTCCCTCTGGCAGTCACAGAATCGCAGGAACTGAATGATAGATTCGTTCAGTGCATTGGTGGCTGGTGCACCTCATAGCAGAGACTTGTGGCAAATGGGTTACTGTGATCCTAGAGGTAGATTTCTGGAAGAACAACACCAGGCAATGGTGGTGCTGGGAAATGGGCAGTCAGTCTGGGTTGTGGAGCACATCTCCTCAGTCATCCATCTGTGAAATGGGACCACAGTGCCCCTTCATGGGCTCTGGGAGGGTCGATGGGGCAATGTATGTAGGAGCACCTGGTGTTCATTGCCCAACATGCTTGAGGGATGATACCAAAGGATTTGAATAAAAATGCTGAAGATGAAGAAGTGAGCAATGGCTCCTATGGGATGACAAAATCAAAATTCAAAAAGATTGCAACAAATTTTAAACTATGAGGAAACACTTCTCATATGACTCTAAATCAAGACAAACCAGAGTCTGGCACTTAGGTTGAAAATTGGGCCTGGCGAGGGTGCCATGGGGTGAGAGGTGGGTTAACAGCAGTAGTGATGGAAAGACCCACCGGGCCAGTGGGGCTGACGGTGTGACCAAAAGGTACAGCAGTCCCGAATTGCATTGCTGTTATTATTATTATGACACAAATTCAGAACTGTGCCACTTACATGAGCTTTTTTACATGAGTTTTTGTTCATTGAAGAATATAATTGAATCAAGGGAAGTATTTACTCCAATCAACTCTGAGTCAGGGGACTCCGAGGGGAGGGGAGGGGGAGAGAGAAATAATTACAAAGAACAAGTGCCAAAGAAGAACAGAATAGGAAAATGTTAATTTGGGAGCCTCAAGAGCCAGACCCTTCAAAGGAGGACATGTGAGCTGAGCACTGGAAGAGTAAGAAATACCCCCCTCCCAATGCCAGGCAGCATCAATCTTGGGTACCCAAGGGCTCTCGGCCATGCTGAAGGGGAATCCTCAGGTCCCTACCATAGGTAAGCACTTCTTACTCCAGCCAACTGTGGAATGTCCCCCCAGCATCCCTGCTATACTTCCCAGGGGCTCCCACCCCCGCCCACCACCCCTCCCAGGTAATAACACCTTCCCTCTTTCAGAGCTGGCTCTTCTAATTGAGGCCCTGCCCTCAGTCAGCCTTGCCCAGCAGAACCTGCTGGACCAGAAACACACCTGTCCCGCTTCTGGGTGGCTCTGAGCCACCCAGTACCTTCCCCAGAGCAACCCCACCCTTGGCCTTCTGCCCCCTCCGTCCACTCCCCAGCATTCCTGGCAGCCCTGGGACAAGTAGGGCTCGGTTTGGGGGGAGACAGAGGCATTAGAAAGAGACCAAAATGTGGGAAGAAAGAAGCCAGGAAGACAGAGGAAGAGCCAGGGAGCACAGGGAGAAGGTGGGCAGGGGCCTCAGGGAGAAAACCTTTCCTGATGGGCCAGCCGGCCACTGCTTCCCCCAGGCTGTGGCTTCCAGTGAGAAGATCACAGAAACCTCTAATGGGGGTGGGGAACATGGGTCCTGGAGAGTGTCTTCCCCCAAATCCCACCTTAGTAGGGGCCACCAGAGAGCGGGAGCAATGATGGCCTGGAATTAAGGTGGAATTAACCTGGAGACACTGATATACTGCAGTAGTGGGCGGGTTTCAGGTAGCATGAAGACACTGGGATTTTCCACTCTGTGACAAGTGTCCCAAGAGCAGCCAGGGAAGAGCTGTCTCTGCTCGCCCCGCCCTGCCTGGGTGGATCTCACCCTCCGTTCTACAGACGTGTATGTGTTCCCCAGTGCACCAGGCCCTGCAGTGGGCCCTGGGGATACAGAGACCAGAAGAGGGCAGGCACAGCCCTGGGGTCCAGGTCAGGAGGAGAAAGGGAGGGGGGCAGGGATGAGCCACCAGAAACCCAGGCCAAGTCCATGGGCACCCAGGGGAGGGGGTGTCATTTCCAGTCTGGAGAAGCAGGAAGCCTTCTGGAAGAGCTGGTCTTAAAACCTGGGGCAATTGGAGAGGTCAAGGGGAAGCGGGGACAGTGTGTGCAAAGGCCCCCAATATGAGCAAGTCTAGGAGGTGAGCCTGTAAATTGGCCACTGGGCTCATTCTGCAGAAAAGGGGAGGTTGGAGTGAGATTGTGGAAAGCCCTAAATGCTGCTAAGATGGTTTACTTTACTCTGCCGCAAAGGAGGGGCCATAAAATGATCTTGATGAGGGGGTGGTAGAAACTGTGCTGAGCTCAGAATTTGAGAGTCTCTCTCTTTACTTAACTCACTGATGGGCTTGAGCAGGTCGTCTATTACCTTTGGGTGGGCTTTTCTGTAAAACGGGGAAGAGGGAGGCGCTTAACCAGGTTAGTGTTCTATTCTGAAACCAAAGAAAAGTTCATTTGGCGTCATTTGTTTTTTCAAGCTTACGATTGTGAAAAACAACTGACAAGATGGGCTCTAGACACACATGTGTGCGTGCACACACATGCACACACATGCATGCTCTCATGCACGTGTGCAAACGTGTGCCCTGACAGGGGCCCTGAAGGAGACATGTCCCTCCTCCACCAGGGGCTCCCTCACACCTGCCCCACCTGCGGCCCAGCCGGCTCCTCCCTGCTCAGATCCAGGTTTGGGTTCACCCTGATTTCACCAGCTTGCGCCAAACTCCCTGGAGGGCAGCTGACACTGGTGCCCAAGAAGGTAAATCCCTCCTGCCACAGTCACGCAGGAGAGTAGTAGCAATAATCACAGCAATAGCAACAAGGTAACAATACCCCTGCCGACTTTAATGAAACCATTACTATGCACAAACTGTAAATTCTAAGGCCCTAACACATTTAATTCACTTCATTCTCTCAACAACCCTCTGGGGTGGGGGTGGGAGTTTAGAATGAACCCACTTTAAATGATTAAGGGGACCTGGGCAGGGTCTCTTTACATGAAGGAGGCAGAAGAGGCAACCGCAAGGAGTCTCCTTGAAAAAGCACGTGCCTGCTGCGTGCCCTGAGTTTACTTTTACTGTGTCTTTAAGGCCAATGAAAAGCACTTAATTTTGAGATGACCATATTGCAGACCTTGCAGTATTGTTGGTCTGAGGAGGCCTTGATGAGCGCCGATGGAAGCGGAGGAGCCCACAGCTCCCTTGTCCAAAGCCTGCCTGGGCCGGGAGCTGGGGGTGGGGCAGTGAGACCCCGAGGCCTGAAAGTGGGGTTTGAATCAAGAGGAGGAGCCCTGTGTTGCAGACCATGGTAAAGGCAGCTAAGAAATCTGAAGGGCAGCTTTTCTCATGAGACTGTTTCTCAGCATCTCACATCCACCCCGCGGCTACTTTCTGCATGAAAGGCTGTTAAACTCCCCCTCGGTGTTGTAAGAGAAGGGGGCACACTGTGGGGGCTGAGGAAGCTTGTGCCCAGCCAGCACCCAACAGGGCGGACCAGGCTGGCCAGAGCCTCTGGTAGAGTGACTTCTGATTCCAGGGCTTCTCCTCCTGGGCCCCTCCCCCGGACTGTGTGAATCAGCAAGGGGCACTGAGTCCCCAGGGCCTCCTTGACCCTCCCGATGACCTGAGGGCAAGTGACAAATGGACAGGATAGAGGGAATCCAGTGGATCCGAGGGACAGTCTTTGTTTAACTGTTCAAACCTGCCTTGCTGTAAGAGGTGGAAAACACTCTAGAAGCAAAGACGCAGTATAAACACTGAAGGTATGGTGCGGGGGGGAGTCCATGGTTCTGGCTCCTTCTATTTCTCTTTCCCCTTCCCCCTCCTTCTGTTTCCAGGTCAGGAGAAACCAGAGCAGCTCCTCGCTCCTAGTGAGCAGTGCTAGCCTGCCTGGTCTCTCGGAGGGGTCCTCGCTCAGCCCTGCCTGGTCTCTCGGAGGGGTCCTCGCTCAGCCCCATGCTGCGCTGGGCTGGCCCGGCAGGGGCGGGCAGTAGGCCCTGGGCGGCTTGCGTGGACTCAGCCCAGGCCTGGGTCTGGAGGAGCGAACAGTCCCTGCCCTTGGGAGCTCTGGGACGATGGGACAGGGGAACCTAGAGACACAGCAACCATTACAGACAAGTGACCAGAGCCAGCCCTGAAACTGGGAGGGAAGGGGAACAGAGAATGCGGGCAAGATGCGAGACTGTCCAGGAAGGGTTCCCCAAAGGGGCTGATGAGCACATTTAAAAGGGGAGCAGGGACTTGGACGGACTCATTCATTTATTCATCCATTTCTTCCACAAATAACTGTAGCATCTACTGGATTCCAGACACTACTGAAGGACTGAGGACACAGAGGTAAGTAAAACCGGACAATCTCCCAGGTCTGTAGAGACAGTAGACTCATTTGGAAATAGGTCCTGAATAAGGGCTGCATCCAGGTGTGGACAAGTCAGTGTGTGAGCAGAGAGGAGGGGCAGGGGCACTGACCCAGGTCTGGTGTGAGGCTCGGGGCTGCAGGGCAGACGGCAGGGAAGGTGTGCATGCAGAGGGGCACAGGCACAGAGCAAGGAGTCAAACAGGGATCAGCCATTGTGTCACCAGGCTGAGGAGGTGGGCGCCCGGGGGAAAGGAAGGTGAGGAGAAGGGAAGGCTGGGCCAGACTCAGAGGGCTGGGATGCCTCTATGCCCACCCAGGGTCCACTGGAGGATGCTAGCAGGAGAGGATCATACTAACCTGACATAGGAGGGACAGAATGGGGTGGCAGGGAAGGGACATGAGGGGTTGAGCCAGGATGGCAGGTGAGAACAGGGGAGGCCCGGCAGCCGGGTGGGGGCGGGGAGCAGTCTCAGAAGGACCTGGGGCCCCCTTGCTGTTTGAAGTGAGGCCAGGTGCTGATGATGTTGTACAGAGCCTTCCCAGGAGACAGGGCATTGATGACATCACTGTGCCCCACCAGCAGGTAGTTGGGAGTCAGGTACCCCTTGTCCGCCGCACACTGGATCAGGCTCTGGGCTGCCTCCAGGGCTGCGGCATTGGGTGGCTTTTCTGCAAAACACATGCACCCCATCAGTCATCAGAGTCTCAAGGTTACTTGCTTAGGGCAGGGACAAGCACTTGTGTTCCAGTCTCCCTGTGCCTGTACCCCATCACCATAGCCAACACATTCACATCATCTGTGGCAGCCAGGCACAGAGATAACACAAGGTCAGTGTTCCCTGATTCCCCTTTGCAAAGCTTCTTCTGGGAAGTTCAGAACTGCTCTGGATGAGAAGCGAAGCAAGCACACCACTTCTGAGCAGGCGCCATGAGGTAACAGGGCACCGCTGACTGTCCACACTCTGCCATAACAGGCAGTGATGCTCCTCAACACTTTTGCCATGGTTACCAAGGAAGCGGGTGCATTTGCTGACTGAGCCATAAAAGCACCAAAGTTTGCCCAGCCAGCATGGCTCAGTGGTTGAGTGTCAACCCATGAATCTGAAGGTCATGGTTCAATTCCCCTTTAGGGCACATGCCTGGGTTGTGGGCTCGATCCCCGGTAGGGGGCGTGCAGGAGGCAGCTCATTGATGATTCTCATCATTGATGTTTTTATCTCTCTCTCCCTCTCCCTTCCTCTCTCTGAAATCAATAAAAACATATATATTTTAAAAAGCACTAAGTTTGCAAAAGATTATGTTCTCTCTTGCTCCATGCTTGTCTTGGGTGTGGCTATAAAGATAGATGCAACTGGGTATGGGGATGGGTGGATTTGGGGGAAATTTTCTGCCTGGGAGGGACTCCTGGATGACCTGCACCCTGTATTGAGTCCCTGAAAGCTAAAATGTACCCCTGACACTGTCAGGCACCACAAGGTAGCCTTTCCCCCATGTTCCCCAGACACTTTACATGCGGCTTCATCACCCGCACCCCCTCTGCCCCATGCCCACTCCTTACCTACAAAGTTGCCCATGAAGGCGATTCCTAGGGCAATATCGTTGTACCCGTAGGTGTGAGAGCCTTGGATCTGCCAGCCAACTCCTTCATACACACCCCCATCTTGGCCCACCAGGAAGCTAGGAATGGGCAAAGGAAAATGGGGAAGTCACTTTCGGAAGAAGAATTGGCTTCATTTACTCCTTGAATGGTCCATTCATTCTTTCATTCGCGTATCATATATTGACTGAACGTCTCTTAGGTGCCAATGTGCACAGAGACAAAACAGAGAACCAAGAACAAAAAGACAATCACAGACTCTGAACCCGAGAAGTGAGGTCAGACAGTGACAAGCAGTGATAACAGCAACTTCAGTCCACTATGACATGGCCATCCCCCCCCCAATGCCACAGAATCTGACCCCTCCGAGGTGACACCAGGACCATGGACATGTATTTTTCTTCTGGGTTACACTGACCCTGTTGACCACTCTCCTCTTGAAATGTCCTGAGCTTCCATGAGCCACACCCTCCTGATTGTCCCCTACTCTGGTGCTTCCCCTCAGGTCCCTCTGCCATCCCGCTCCTTTTCCTGGAAGGTGGTGCTCCCCAGGATTCTGATCTAGCCCCTCTCTCTTCTTACTCAGTGTGTTCTTCCTGGACAGCCATCCAGTCCCATAGCTTCAGTTAGTATCTACAGAAACCAACATGCCCAAAGGAACTCAGCTTCTTCTGCAATTTCTTCAGCCAGAAAATTGGGCATTGTCCTGAAAGCCTCCCTCTCCCTTCCCCAGCCCCATCTGATCATGAATCATGACTTGTCAACTGGATCTCTCTTCTCTCTGTGCCCACGGCCACTATGCTGCTCCAGGTGACCCCCACCTTTTGTCTGGATTACTGCAATAGCTCTCTGCCCAGAGTTTGCCTCCTTCCAACCCATTATTGAAATAGCACCTGGAGTGGTTTTGCTAAGATATGAATCTTATCATAGGGCATGACCTTCTAGTTGCTCTCAAATAGAGTCAATCTGTCAGGACCCCCTTCAGGGGCCTTTGTGATGTGGCTCCTATTGGCATCTCCAGCCTCACTTCTCACCATTCCCCTCTGATAGCGACTTTTATGTAAGAGTTAAAGTTCTTCAGTTCAAAGATATGTACTCTGTCTGGGCCCCACACCCTAGAGCATGCTGCTCCCCTCACCTGGGTCACTCTTTGCCCCCCTTTGTCTGACTAAACCACACTCCTTATCCATGTCCCAGCGTGGAGGCCCCTTTACCTGGAGCCCTTCCCTGACACACTCACCGTCCCAAAGCCTTGGTAATGATTTGTCCTGGTCCTGTCCTGTTCCCCACCCATCACAGTGCCTAACTCTGACTTGTCCTCACTGGTTTACTATCTTCTCTCTCCCCTCCATGGGGGAAGGAACCATATTTATCTTGCCGAGCACTGGGCACACAGCAAATACCCAATGAATATTGGTTAAAAAGTTAGAAAACGGTGAGTGAGGGGGTCCTTTTTCTTGATTACAATCCACAGCAGGATTGGAGATGCATCATGAGGCTGGAGGGTGAGTGGGTCATCACAACAAGCTTTGAAAGTCAAAGAACAGGGATCGAGTCCTTGACGACTGAATGAGAAAGGAAAACCTACATCCCTCAGCTTCAGGCATTTTCCATTTAGGATTTTCAGATGTACAGTCTGATCCCTGTTATCTGTGCTGAGCAACCATAGCAAGGCTGTGGACAGTCCTGCAAAGGCCGGCAGCAGCTTCTCCGGCTTTCAAAGGCTACTTTTACCGTGAGAGTTGAGGGACAGGCAGCTAATCCAGAACAAGACACATATGCAAAAGCGAACCCACCTGAGACTTTTGCAAAAGCTGTTGTGATAAAGTCACAGATGAATGATTGCAATTTATCATCCTTTAACCCTGCACCCCTTCTATGAAATTCCAAGGCGTCTTCTGTTTAGCTTCTGCCATTCCATTAGCTCAATGTGTTTCTTTGTTATAGGCCTGGCATTAAAGGAACCATAAAAGAACATTCCTTTCCACTCTATATCTTCAAGTAGATATGGAACTGTTGTCCCAATTGTAGAGATGAAGCTAAAGGGGCCCAGAGAGGTTAAAAGCTCCTGTGTGTATATAAAATGGAGTCAACAGCACCAGAGACATTGCAGAGGGAGCAAGTTGGCATTGGGCCGGACCGAGGGAGAACCTGTGACTCTCAGTGGCGGGAAGGGATTACATAAAAAAGGCGCAGTCCTTCAATGGTCTTCCACAAGGGCCTCACAGTTTTGCTTTATTGCTGTTGCTTCTAATGTCTTCTTTTCAGAGTCTTCCCTCGAGGAGAAGAGGCCCAGGAGTGATAACTGACCCTTAGCTATGTCTGAATGATAGTCCAGAGTTTTGCACGAATAAAATACAATGTCTCACATAAAGCACCTGGCACAAAGGAACGGCTCAGGGAACACTGGTTCCCCCCCCAGCCTTCCCTCCCATGACCCTGAAGAAGAGGACAGTCACATTCCCACCGCCCCCACTTACTGATAGCCAATGTCGCAGAAGTTCAGTCTGTCCATGTGGTAGGACTGTGTGTCTCGGACGCGAGTCTGGCAGTCCATGGGCGTGTCACAGGGTGTCCCAGCCGTGTGGATGATGATGACGTATTTGGCTGGGAGGTTCATTTTAGGGCAGTGTGTCTCTCTGGCTTCCCAAGCTGCCCGCGTGATGATGTTGGGACAGGCTGTGGTGGGGTGAGAAACCAAGGCCTGGGAACGCGCAGCGCAGGCTGGCTGCTCCCCAGCCTCCCCGACCTGAACTCCGCTGTGGGGCTCTGGGACAGGCCAGATGGGGTGTCTGGGTCACGTGGCTGCAGCCAAGGGACAGAGGCAAAACTCTACAGGCTCTGATTAAGCTATGGGACCAGTGTGTGAGCAGAAGGGAAAGGACTGTTGATCGTACAGAGTCGTGGTTGTTTCGTTCAAAAGGCAAAGTGCGCCTACCTGCTTGAACATGCCTTGAGCATATGTGCAGGTGTGTGTGCTTGTTATGTAATAGGACCAACAGGCAGAAATCAGCGTCTCTGAACCGATCACATGTATATGGAAGTAATTTGAAATCTATAAAGCACTCTACCAACGTGAAAAGATTGTCATGATTGAAGATAGCACCGATCTGAAAGCCAGACAAACTTTATTTAGAGATTTACAATTTTAGATAGGTTAATAAAAATTATCCTTGCCCTGGCTGAGTGGCTACAGTTGGTTGTAGGGTTGTCCTGTGTGTGTGTGCGCGTGTGTGTGTACTCACATAATACACACTAATACATACATACATATACATGCGTGTGTGTGTGTTTGTGTGTCTACTGCCCCATTACCATGCTTGGTTTTTCTCCACAGCCNATACACACTAATACATACATACATATACATGCGTGTGTGTGTGTTTGTGTCTACTGCCCCATTACCATGCTTGGTTTTTCTCCACAGCTTTCCTGCCATCTGACATCATATGTATTTTACTTGTTGATTTCATTTTTTTCTTTCTTCACTGAAATGTGTAGTTTTGTCTGTTTTGTTCACAGCTGTATCCTCAGTACCTAGAAGAGTGCTTAGTATTCAATAAATATCTGTTGATGGAGTGAAAGTGTGTGTACACGCCTGCTTATGTCAAGAATGGCCCCATGGCTCTATCATCCCAGGGGGAAGGAGAGGAGGCCGGGAAGGTACCCTTTCAGAATTTTTGGAATCTCAGCATGAGGTATTCTTGGTCTAAGAAACCAATGAACACCAACAGGAAAAAAACCTTCCCTAATGCTAGGGTGTCACTGGGAGAAGGGTGAGGTGGGATTAAGGACCTTACCTTTCCTGGGCATCATTGGCTGCTGATGGGGCAGGCATGCCTCTCCTTTCAAGAGAAGTGGCTGAATATACCTGGGTGACAAGTGACCCTTCCGGATGGCGTAGAAGATCAGGTCCTCTGCAGCTGATAAGGCAGCGGGGCTGGGACTGCTGCCTGAAAGAGGAGGACATGGACCGTCAAACTGTCAGCAAGAAACTCCAACCTGGTCTAGACCTGGAGGGAAGATAAGGTGACCACCTGAGCCTGAATAACTGGTGGACAGGAAGAGAGGAAGCTGGTCCAGGAAGAGAGGAAGCCAGGACAGGGCGCCTAAGAGACAAGGATCTACTTGGACAGTTCTTGGAGCCAAGTTGGTGACCTCTTTCAAGTGCCAAACTACTTTTATCCACTCCATCTCTGGGTGGAAGAGCTGGGAGGCAATAAAAGCTACATGCAAAGGGCGGCCCACCTGACCAAGTCAGGGATGCCCCAGCATGGAGAGAAGGGTGACAATACTTACTTAGTACCTCCCACAATTGGGCATGTGGCAAGGGCTCTTTTCACCCATTAACTCATGTAATTCCCACAGAAAACCTCTGAGGTACATGCTGTGACTAGCCCCATGAGCAGATGGGCATCCTGGCAGGTGCCAGTTATTTATCTGTTAGCTCTCCTCTGTTTTGCAGGGGGCTAAAAACCTGCAAAGCAGCCCGGATGGCGTGGCTTAGTGATTGAGCATCGACCTATGAACCAGGAGGTCACGGTTCGATTCCCATCCAGGGCACATGCTCAGGTTACAGGCTCGATCCCCAGTCGGGGGCGTGCAGGAGGCAGCTGATCAATGACTCTCTCTCATCACTGATGTTTCTCTCTCTCCCCCTCTCCCTTCCTCTCTCTGAAATCAATAAGAACACATTTTTTTTAAAAAAACCTGCAAAGGACATTTCTCGGGCTTCCTTGCCTGGCGGCTTCTGGCTGGGTCCTTCCAATGAGGGATGCTGGAGGAAGAGAGAAGCCATGCTCTCCTGCCTCTGCCAGGTGCGGGCTCAGTGCCACACAGCCTCAGATGCCAGAGGCGATGGCAAAGCCGTGAGCTCAGGCGGTGGCAGTGGCTTCAGCAATCTCACAGGAGTGCAGGCCAGAGAAGAGGAAGAGGGCATGAAGGGTGCCATGGCATAGCTTTCAAGCGGGGAAAGAACTTCGAGAGAGCGTGATGTAGACTGAAGGGAGAGGAGTGTGGGGAGCATTGGAGGCCTTGCTCCCCAGCATATGCGGTCAGTTTGGTTCAAATAAATTCTATAAAAATTGAAAAAAGAAGAGAGAGGCGTGTGAGGCAAGGAGTGTATAGACAACTCTCAGCAGAGGGTCTGGGGGTTGCCCGTTACCTTCCTTGGTGCCAAAGAAAGCGAAGCCCAGGGAGACGTTGCTGTAGCCCTGGGTGTGCAGGCCTTGGGCGCTCCAGCCGAGACCTTCGTACACCCTGCCATCGTCCCCAACCAGGAAGCTGCGGGCAGGCAAACGCGGACTGAGTGTCAAATCCTGGTAGCGGGAACCCTCCCACCGCCCTCAGAGGGGAAGGGTTCTAGGGGCTCAGGAGAAGTACTGCGCTTCAGTGACCTAACAGGGGGAGCGAGGGGGGTCCCCAGTCTACACTCCCCAGACTTCCTTACATTTTCTTGTGACTTTGCTTACGTGTGTTCCCCAGAACCTCACTTCACAAATACTCCTGCAGCTCAAAGTGGAACCTGAGTGTGTGACTCTCAAGGACCTGAGGACCTAAGTTTAACAGCCTCCTGCCCGTTGCTCGAGCGGCTGGGAGGGGCTGCTGGGGTGGTCATCGTGAAGCCCCCGCACACTGTAATGTTCTGCCAGCTGCAAGGGCGCTGCTGTGGCCCCGGCACGGCCTCCCGTGCTTCATCCAAGGAGCTCCCAGAGTCCAAGGCCACATCTGAATCCATGGCTCAGGGCCTCCCTCCTAATGACCCCGGAGGATTTTGGATTTTGTTTGTTTGCTTGTTTTAACATTTTGTACTTATTTTTTAAAAGTAACATAAGTGGGAAGATGGGAAAATAGCGAAGGGCTGGTGGGAGGCCCCTTGGAGGGTAACTGCAGTGTGGGCTCTTACTTGTAGGCCACGTCACACCAGCCTTTGTTGTAGACAGAATGGGACTGAAGGTCCTGCAGCTTCTGGCTGCAAACATTCTGCTCCTGGCACTCCATCCCCCCGAGCTGGGCCATGATGACATAGGTCACAGGGGGGGTCAGCTGGGCCCTGCAGGTCAGCGATCTCGCCCCCCACTCCTTGCGGGAGACAATGGTGGGGGCACCTGCAAAGGGGACGGAAGGATGGCATGTGGCAGCTCTTACCTGCTTCCCCCAGCGCACTGCCTTCTCTTGAAGCACCTCATGTGGATACCTTAGGATTCGCTGTCCTCACTGGTACTGCCTCAGGTCTCTGATTGTGTCTTTTGTCTGGCCCTCCCTCACAAAGGTGACTCTTTGGAAAGTCTGTTACTCTCCTAGAACTAGGGACCCATGGGTCCAGAGCCCACAGGGAGTTCCATGAGCATCAGATATGTGTCTCTCTCTTTCAGATTAAGTCACTGTGGGCAGGGCTGAGAGAGCCCCACAAGACCCCCAGGCTGCCTGAGGCTCCCTGTCTGTGTCCATCTTGGGGCCCCTGGGAGCTCTCTGGTGACAGGATGTCTCCACCCTCCTACTGAGAGCTGGGAAGAGGGGCTTGTCTTTTCTCCCTGGGTCTTCTCTCCTTCCTGGACCTCACCTTTGCCTGAGGACCCAAGACAATCCATCGCACTCTTTGGCAAATGCCCCTCTTGGGGCTCCATCCCACCCCACCCACCCAGCTGCATTGAAATCCTGAGAAACATTCTGGCCACCTAAGAAGCCCCGCCAACCCCCAAACCAGCTCACCATTTCGACCCTTGCGAATGAGCTGCGAGACACCATAAAACAGGTCCACAAGGTGCTCTGACACTTCTCTGGCTTGGGATTCATTCCAGGGGAACTGCGGAGAATCCCCTGCGAGGGAACATTGCGCTTGGTGCGGGTCCGGGGAGAGCACCTGGACCATCCCAAGGCAGGGCTCCACATCCCTGCCCACAGTTCACAGCCTCTCAGCCTCCACAAGTCCCCTGACTTCCTCTAAAAATGTTTCTAGCCTCACCCTCCCTCTGCCTCTCACATCTGTGCCAGTGAGGCCTTCATGTTCCCACCCTCCCCCACCTCCCCCATTCCAGGGGCTTTGAAGTCTCTCTGTCCCCTTAGCTGAGCAGCTCAGCTTTTCCCAGGTCACCTGCTTACCTATTAATAGATCAAAATGTCACATGCCAAAATGGTCATCATCATTTTGAGCTAACACATATACATATATTAAGTGCCTATTGATCCAGACAAGTTTCTTGAAATATAGAAATTTTCCAACTATGGTGACTGCCCTCACACACTGGATGTTTTAAATAAGATTACTCGAGGGTTAGTCATTACAGACGACGTGCCTCACCCCCCTCTGCCTGTCCAGCACCTGAGGTCATGGGAGCAATAACCACTAGAACCAGCAATGTCACCAACATCACTTCCCACAGGCCAGCTCTGTAGGTGACAAAGCATTTTCAAGGGCACTATCAGATTTGTGGCTTAAAACAACTTTATAAAATAAGCAAAGCAGATTAACTAATCCCTCTACGCAGATGAGAAACAAAGGCTCAGAGAGGTTAAGTTACTTGTCTAAGATGATACAGGTTTTAAGCCATGGACTTGGTCTCTCACCCAAGCTGTCTGTCCCCGGAGCCATGTTCACAACCCCTACACTCTGCGGCCTCCCCAAAGTTGTCAGACAACCTTCGGCAACTGACCTTGTGGGGTGACGTTGGACAGATGACCTTGCCACTGCCACAGTGTGGCCTGTTTCTGTGTCTATAAGACAAGGTCAGTAAGGGTCTCCACTAAGGCTGAGATCCTTCCCTATGTAAAATCATCAGGAACATACCCATGACCGTGACACTGAGGACGGGGTGTGCTGGGCAGGCTGGAGAAACTGAGGACTAGAGCCAATCTCAGCGGGGAGGAGGGGCCAGAGCCGGGCTTGGAAGGGGGATTAGGACTGGGGGAGAGGAGTGACGAGCCTGGAGAGGACCGTCTGCAAGTGAAACCAGCTGGGGCTGATGCCGAAAGCACTTCTGACCCGATGAAAAAACTTACCCCAGGCCTCGAGGCCCAGAGCTGAGAAGACAAGAAGCCACAGCAGCATCCTCACGTGGTCCCGGGACACCAACGAGAAGAGTGTGGACGGCAGCCTGGGAGAGACACTGACAGTTAATCCAGCCGTGCTCCCTCTTCAAAAGGCCTACCCCACTGCATGGCGCCCCGTCTGCCTTCCGGCCAAGCTGTGGGCCTCCTCAAGCCAGCCCTGGCCAGGCTTCTCACGGTCCCCAACACGGAGCCTGACCCCCGGCAGGTGCTCAGTGCAGGTGAGGGCCACCATCCTCACCTACCACCTGTTACTCCTGGTCCCTCGGAAGAGCACGGTGCCTTATCTTAGGCCTTCCAGTATAGACAATAACAATTTCTAAAACCCTTTAGTAGCTGTGTAAATATTTTCACATCTAGTGCTATAATTTTATATTTAATCCTTAAAAATCCCTGTAAATATTATTAACCCCTCTTTTATAAGTGAACACACTGAGGCTCAGGAGCAGTAAACTATAAGTAGGGGCACTGGCTTCATTCCCAGCACTGTTTAAGAGTCAGAGGTGTGCCTGGCTGGTGTGGTAGGTGGTTGAGCATCAACCCAGCACCAAGGGGTCACTGGATTCGATTCCCTGTCAGGGCACATGCCCGGGTTGGAGGCTCGATCCCCCTAGGGCGCATGCGGGAGGCAGCTGATTGAGGTTGACTCCCTCCCATTGGTGCTTCTCTCTCTCTCTTTCTTTCCCTTCCTCTCTCTCTAAAATCAATAAAACCATATATTTTTTAAAAAGAGCCAGAGGTGTGTTAGGTCATCCAATTTGGTCCTCTAACCCCCAAAATCCTGACAGATGCTAATAACAGCAACGGTTACCACTTACTGATCACCTCCCATGTTCCAGGTATTTGCTAAGGACTCCATAGATATCCCATTCAATCTCCTCACAGTGTCCTGAGTCCCACTCTTACCATCAGGAAACTGGGCCTCAGAGAGTCTAAGTCACTTCCCTAAAGTTATGCAACCAGTAAGAGCAGAGCAGGGTCACACCCAGGTCTGTCTGACTCCAGAGCCTCTGCCTGAAACTTCTCCACAGCCTGCTTGAGTTTTTGGTGATGAAGTCTCAACGTGGACCCAAAAGGTTAAACCCCAGGGCCTCTGTGGTCCTTTCCAGCTACAGGAACCTTCTCTACTGTCAGGCAGAAATGTATTTTTACTTGTGCTCTGTCAAAATGAAATATCAATTCTCCGAGCTATCAGCCAAAACATTGGGTCTTCCAATTATCCTGCTCAGAAACTACAAGGGGGAGGTTTGAGATAAATTGGGAGGTCATGCCCTCCAGTGTTTTTATTTTATAACCAGTAATCCCCAGATGGAAATGTTTAGAACCACTATCTCAGACTTAAGCATGTAAGAGCTTCCTAAATTAGAACAAGCAATCTCTTGGCAAATAACACCCAAGATTTCATTCATTCAAGAAAACTGCGTTGCAGACAAAATGCACCCATCACAGATGAGGGCGGGCACCTCATAAACATGTGGGACAGTGTTCAGCTTCCTTCCTGGGCCAAACTGAGGCAAGGATTAACTTGCCCAAGATAAAAGCCCCTAGGCTGGCCGCCTGCAAAGCTACCTGGAAATCAGCAATCAATTCTGGTCAACAGGAGGTTTGCACCCTGGTCACTTGACCATGGTGCTATCTCAACCATGACTGTTACCTTGGCAAATGCTGTCTTGAGGTGTCACATCATATGGCTAAAACTGCAAGGCTTGAGCCCAGCCTCTGACCATGCAGGGGTATCACCCACCCCCACTCCCACTGCCACCCCAATTGCAAACACTGAGCTGGCAGGATAGGCTGGAACCAAGGCTCACATTGCTATGCATTCTGTAAACTTAAAAAAGACGAAATACCAGAGAAGGAAGCAAGTGAGACATAATACATAAAGACTCAGGGCTAGAGAGAAAGGGAAGAAATTGGGTAGAGGTAAACGCAGGACCCACAGCCAATAGAGAACATTTTCTTATTAGGAAAAAGAATTCAAGAGGGGAGAGCAGGGCGACTTCTCCACTATGTTAGCATTTAAACCTCATAGAGTTCAGATCCTTTGATGAGAGACGGCTTCCTAAGAAAAAACACTCGCACTCACTCAGAAATCCCTGGGGATCCCGGGCAGGTCAGGGTGCAGGCGGCTCACCCCTCATTGGCTGGCAGCTCCCCCTTTCAGACTTGGCCTCTGCCCTTCACCCTCCCTGCACTAGAGGGCGCCCCTCCTGGGAATGGAGCCTCAGGCCCTGGCTCCCCAGAGGGGGAGAGCTGGGTCCCTAACAGAAGCTGGAGAGGAGAAGGGCAGAGGTCTGAGGCTGGAGCCTGCTCCCTCCACAGCACTGAGAGGAGCCTGGTGAAACCGGACGCGGGTTGAGAGCAGGGGCCCGCCCTGTGAATAAGCCCAGGTGCCTCCTCCCTGGGAAAGGGCAAGATTGCCCAAGCTCCCTGAGCTCCTTCCTCACCCCAGCCCTCAGGAAGCCCGGCCAACCTGGGGGTGCCCATGGGACCTGGGGGGGTCACATCCCACATCTGGGAACTTCCTGGCCTGGAGACAGATCTTCACTGGGCGTGTGAAGGCTGTGGGTAGAGGTTCCTCACTGACACCCCCGACACCCCACCCTGTGCTCTTCCACGGGAGTCACCAGCAGGGACAGGATGGGGGAGGAGAAATAGAAAGGTACATTCCAGCGGCTTGCAATGTGTCATCACTAGAAGTTATTCTGACCCTGTGGCCAAGTGACCCATTCACACATATCCCCAATCTCAGCATCCAGCTGTGAACCAAATGCTGTTGCTTTGTCCTGCTTTGTGTCGGAACAGCCCTTCGAAAGAAACGATAACGGCTCCCTCCCAGTGACTGCCCAGCACCAAAACCCCTCCGGACAGTTGCCTCCCTCGGATGAGTAGAGGTCTCTGATGTCTCTTTCAATAAGAACACTAATCCTATCGGGGGGGCCCACCCTTATGACCTCATCTATTCCTTTCTTTTTGTCTTATAATAACTTTATATAATATTAAACTTCAATTCTTGTCTGCTGCTTAATTGTTTTAATAAAATTAGTTTTACTGACCTTTTAAGGGGGATGCCTGGGTTTTTGGATAGCTTTTCTAATCCCATCACTCTAGAGCTCCCTGTTCATCCTTCTTGTCAATCAAGTGTTCAAAGATGTGCTGGCTTCTATTCAGAACTTGACTCCCCTCCCCAACTCTTATCTGAACTTTTTTTCTCTTTGATATCTCTGATCCATGACCTGTGTTAGAGTTTTTCCCAGATGTTTTCCCCTGTGGGACTTTATTCGAGATGGAGCTTTGGCAGGCTAGTTTTGAGAATCGTGAACCCAGACTGCTCCAGGTCCCATAGACATCACCATGGAACTCTGTGTTTGCACGCCGCTGGGGTGTGTAAACCCCTCTGGATTTTAGCTGCTGAGCTTTCTAAACTTTGGGGTAAGTTCATCTTGGTCATTTGAAGTCTCAGGTCCATCAGGCACCCTGCTATCTCCCTCTGTTTCCTCCTACACAGATGCCAGAAATGTATAGATCTATGGTTTGGGGTGGTTGATTCCCATCTGCTCGAATTGGGGGTTTGTGAGGAGACTGTCACCTGGTTGTGTGGCTTTCCCTGTGTATTTTTGTTACTTTTGCTAATTTTGTTGCTTTATTCCTTTTCGGGAGGGGGATTAAACATTTACGCCGGTGCTACCATCCCCCACCATGCTTTTGCTGTCAAATGTGTACCTTTGTCGGAACAGCGCCGTGTGAGACACCATGGCCGTGAATACGGCGTTCTAGAAGTTCACAGCTGGTGGTGCCAGAAGCACTGTGTGCAAGGTGGCACACCCACACCAAGTATCTGTTCCAGGGAGGACAGTGACTAACCCTACCAGAGGGTGCTCAGCCCGCTGCCAGTGGCAGCTGGATGTCCCAGGGAACAGTGCCAGTTGGGAGCTCGTCGTTGGCCTCCGCCACGCGCAGGCGGAACGTCCCACACTAGCGGTGGCCAGCTTGGTTTGACGAGGGGAACTACATTGTTGTTGGGCGCAGGCATAGCCTTCATCTCCGCCACATCTCTGCCACTTTTTACCTGAGTCTCTTGAGCAAGTACCCAGGTGGTTAGGGAAAAAGACTGACTGAAATCATCTCACCTACCTGATTATTGTTATTTTACTCTGCAACAAACACCCTTGATAAGCACTCAGATAGGCTCCAATGGTCCAATCTCAGTCTCTCCAATCCTTGGTCATGGGGCCAAACCATTAGTCATCACCCACAGTAGACATCATATAATCCAGGCAAAGCAAGAAACAAATACACTGCTGAGAACTCTGCTCACTTAGAGGGGAGTGTTTGGATAGGAGGAAATGGTGGGGGGTGGTTTTCAGGGGAAGAGTGTGGTAAAATCCCTGAAGACAGGGAAGCAGACATTTGATGTTAGAAGCGAAGTTAAACGGCTCTGTTCCCAGTCTACCTCTGTTCATACACAATGTTTTCCTTTTATTGATCTCATCTGTTTTCCCCTCTCTCCTCTCCTTTTTTCCAAACCAAGAGCCAAAATAAAAACAAAAAACCCCACAGAGAACATTTCTGTGTTTCCAATAACAAGTTGAAGAGCCCAGGCAGGGAGGGCTGCAGAGCCCCAAGATTCTAGGTTCTCGCTCGGGTCGGATGCCCAGCAGGAGGGTGCCTGGGGGAGAGGAGGGTGAGGAGAAGGGAAGGCTGGGCCCAGACTCAGCGGGCTGGGCAGCGCAATGGGGCTGGCGGGGAGGGGACGTGAGGTGAAGAGAAGTCTCAGAAGGAACCAGAGCCCCCTCACTGTTTGAAGTGTGGCCAGGTGCTGATGATGTCGTACAGAGCCTTCCCAGGAGACAGGGTGTTGATAACATCACTCTGCCCCACCAGCAGGTAGTTGGGAGTCAAATACCCCTTGTCCACCGCACACTGGATCAGGGTCTGAGCTGCCTCCAGAGCTGCGGCATTGGGTGGGGTACCTGCCGAACACAGACAGCTCATCAGTCATAGAATCCCAGGCCACCCTGCCCAGGGCAGCACACGTGCCTGCATGCCCCCCTAACCCACACCCACCACCGAGCCAGTATACCCACTGTTGCCAGGCACCCTATGCAGACAGACAGAAGATTAAGTCAAGGCTTCAGATTCCTCAGCACCAAAGACTCAAAACAACAGAGGCTGGGAGAACATATGCAATGACCCTGGGATATACAAAGCCTTTATCCACTGCAAAAATTTAGCCTGGTAGCTCCCAACAAGGGACATTTAGCTCTCCAGGGGACACTTAACAATGTCTGCAGATGTTTATGATTGTCACACCTAGAGGAAGGGTGTCTCAGGCATCTGGTGGGTCGAGGCCAGGAATGCTGCCAAAAGTCCTGCAATCCATGGGACAGCCCCACAGCAGAGAATCTTCTCACCCTGGAGGTCACTCATGCCAAGGTTAAGAAACCTTGTTGTAGGCACAGGTGTGCTTCCTGAACCCTTCCCTTATCCATCTCCATCTCCAAGTATATTCCTGGTTACCCCTTGCCCCTGTCTAACACTCATTTTAATATCAGCTTAACCAGCCCCAGTGGCTTGGTCTCCTCTTCCCAGAGGTTCAGCCAAAGGCCCCTGAGTCTAAACAAACTCTGGTCAATAGCTCTGAGCAATTACAATTCTCAGTGTGCACTCTGGGTGCAGAGGCAGGGCCTTGTTCATGGCTGTGACTAATAAGGCAAGTGTCCCTACATTGTTGCTGTGGTGTGACTTAGAAAAAATATACACAAAAATCTTTCCCCCTCATCTTACATGTGTCTTGGATATTGGAAAAGAGATATTTGGTTGGGTGTGGAGGAAGTAGATTTAGGGTGGGCATTCTACACAGGGGTCACTTCTGGTCACACTCAAGGTAGTAAAACATCAAATTTGAAGCTGGGTAAATCCAGCAAATGCTAAAACGACACCTGAGTCTGAGGCCCTTATCTCCTGTGTCAGACACTCTCCTTCACACATCATGCAGTGACCACTACTGCCCAAAGCATCCACTTACCTGAGAAGGTACCTATGAAGGCAATGCCCAAGGCAATGTCATTGTAGCCATGAGTGTGGGAGCCTTGGACATTCCAGCCCACACCTTCATAAATGACACCGTCTTGGCCCACGAGGAAGCTGGAAAACCAAGAGGAGAGGTAGAGATCAGCATGAAAGAGAGGCACTCTGGGATTGTTCCATTCATTCATTCATTCATTCATTCATTCATTCATTCATACCTTAACTCACCAACCATTGATTAGCTATTAAATTTTAAGCACTGTTACAAAAAAGAAAGTCCTTGACAGTGGCTTGCTGGCCAACCGGCTATCATGGGGATGGGGAGGGAGACAGCAGGAAGCCCTGATTTCTATCTTTGATTTCTGTGGTTAAAACTTCCACCTCAGTCAATTCAGGCTACCAATGACTGAACAACTGGCTTGTAAAATTCCTGAATCTCCAATAATTGACTCTCATGACCCCATGTAGCTGCAGCACATCACTGCTGCCCCAGGTAGCTCTCAGTTTATAAAGAAAAGAGTGACAGCTTTCAACCCCTACCACCTGGCCTTTTTACACCTCACCAATGAGCTGTTTCCCCCAAGGTGATCTGTGACCTTCTTAAGACTAAGTAAAAACTATGCTTCTCTGACCTTCATTTTCCTGATCTCTCTGTGCATTTGACACTAAGGACCCCTCCCACCTTCTCAAGCACCCTCTTCTCTTAGCCTCTATTACACCACACTCTCCTGGCTGTCTTCTCTGGCTGCGCCCCCTCAAACTCCTCTGCAGCTCATCTTTCCTGCACAATTGGGCTTCCTCAGGACACTGCCCTCAGCCCTCTCTCTCCTGCTATTGCATCAGCTCATCAGAGAATAAGGTATTCCTTTTCTGATGTGGAGCCGCGTATTTTTGTGTAACCGTAGCTGCCCCACAGTGACACCAGTGGAAACTACTCTAGTGGAGATTCCAAGATGGCAGTGGGTTAAGTGGAAGCTACACTGACACTCTCCCAGGACCAAACTGGAATTACAACTAAAACATAGAAAAATCATCCTGAATAACCAACTGAAGACTAGGTAGAGAGAACCCTTATGACCAAGGACATAAAGAGGAGGCCACATCGAGACTGGTAGGAAGTGTGGAGGTGGTACTCTTGACCACAGACCGTCTCAAAATAGGGAAATAAGGAAATAGTGCACCATGAAGTTACGGTGCAGGGGACACAATGAAAGGTCAAAGAGCCAAGGGACAGGTAGCTGCCCTCTGAAGCCTGAATGGGGAAAGGGAAAGGACCTCCCTCAGCCCTTATCATTTTCCAAATTTATAGTCAATTGTCAAGTATCCATTCTAATTAAAGAGAGCAACGTTGTGAGTGGTCCTGCGTGGCAGGACATGGCAAAGCATGGGGTAGGTCCTTATAGGTGAAAGATGCTGGAGGAAAGTTTTCTCCTATCCTGGATGGGTTGCTACTAAAATAGGGAAGGGGAGAGGAGAGGCAGTCAGCTGGGAGCATATAGCAAGTGATGGTAACTCATCTAAGGCAGAACACTGCCCTCTGGGCTAGCAGTATCTCAGCCTACAACAAAATTTTGTGTGATTGTTCCTGTTAGGACATTAGATGGCTCCTCCCACTTCCCTCAAGGGCTGCTGGGCTCTCTATCTTCACACTTCACCCTGGCCCAACACCTAGCGTCTCCTCCCTGCCAGCCCGAACCTATCCCTCCTGTCTCAGGTTAGCATCAACCTCTCCTGCTGGAATCCTCCAGAAACCTTATCTGCAAGTTTTGCAAGCTCTGAGAGAATCCTTTAAGAAGCTCTGCTTTCCCCCAGGTTAGAGTGCTCTTTATTAAAGAGATTAGAGAAATCAGAAGGTATTATCTGGCTCTCCCCCTGCCTTCGGATAGGAGAGATTCTCTCCCCAGGAGGCTGACAGTGTCCAGTTGCAGAGCAATAGCATGAGTCCAACACTAGGGAGACAAACCACAGGCTGCAGCCAAACAGGGAGCAGAGCCTGAGCCGCTGAGTAGTGTGAGGCGATTATGAGAGAGAAACAGGCTTTGATTACCCTTTCTACAGATTGCACAATCTTGCACTCATATGACTCTTCTACTACCTTTTCAGCAGAGCCCTGGCCTGCGTCATGTCATTATATGACTTTGAAAAAGGACACATTTGGGGAACATGCTTAGGGGAATGAGCACCCCCTAGTTCTGTGCTAAGGCCCACACAGGGTTGCAGGAGAAACCTGTGGTTCCACATGGGGCACCTCTTGTGCAGTGGGCACTCAGTAAACATTAGTTCCCTCTCCCCTCCTTTCAAAGTTTCAGTGTCTGCTCCCAAGGGATAGAAGCCCACGTGTCCTCAGGTCCACTTACTTATACCCGATGTCACATGAGTTGAATCTGTCCATGACGAGGGACTGTATAGTTTGGACCAGCGGGCGGCACTTCTCAGATGTGTTGCAGGCTCTCCCCGCAGTGTGGATGATGATGGTGTACTTAGCTGGGTGGGTCATTTTGGGGCAGTGGGTCTCCCTGGCCCCCCAAGCAGACCGAGATACAATGTCGGGGCAAGCTGTGTGGAGCCAAAAAGCAAGGATGTGAGGATTCATTGTGCCCATCCATGGCAACCCCCTCACTAGAGAAGGCTGACCAACGTAATCCCCAAGATCCCCCAACATCCACCACCCTCTGGGCATCTTGGCTTGAACCCGACTGGAGCTTGAAGAGCCCTGCAGCTCTCAGAGGCCCACCTGGGAACAGGTACCTCTGCACAGAGGGGTTGGACTCCAGAGGCAAGAACCAAAGAACCACAGGCTCTGATCCAAAAATCAGAACCCAAAGGACAGTGGGACTGCTGATTCTGAGGGGACATGGGTGCTCTTTATTCCAAGAGCAAAGCGTACTTATTTATCTGCATGGTTGGCTAGTGTGTTGGGGAGGAAGAGAGAGAATGTGTAATGGGGATCTTTTGGAGAAAGCAGCTGAATTTTTATTTGAAAGCATGTCTCTGAGAGTCACTTGTGATCTATAAAACTCTCTAACAATGTAGGCAATTATTAATGTCGACAGATGGCATAAGCCCAAAGGTTAAGATTAAATTTGCTCAGAGCTTTAATATAATAGACCTAAAGTCTTTAAAACTTTATTAAGTCCAAGAAAAGGCTGCAAGTGCTTATTAACTGTGGAGACCAGGCCCTCGATAGCTGACTGGTTTGGATGCTGCTGCTTATTAAACCCAAAATCAACCTTTTGTCCACTTTTTATTACCTGAATGATGTCAATCTCCTGCTCTAAAGTCAGGGTAAGTGGAGACTTAATCACTCCAGCCTGTTCGTGCTGTTCCAGTTTTTGTACTTGCGTGTTTGTGTTAGATGCCAACCTTCTCCGTGGTTTTATTTTCCCTCCACAGCACTTTTTACCAAGTAATGTACTAAATAGTTTCTTGTTTATTTGCTACCTGGCTTTCTCTACTTTCTAGGTTGAAACTTCACACAGTTGAGACTGTGTTTGTGTGTTTTATTGCCTGGTGTATCCTCAGTGACTAGCAGGTGCTGGGTAAAGAACTGCTGAATGATTGAAAATGATTGAAGACATGAATGCACATGTATCACATCAGGCACAGTGCATGGCTCCCACATTCTGGAAATCCGAGGGATAAAGACGTAACCTGGAGGGTCCCTCTCAAGGTCTCCCTGCCCTAAGGTTTCAACTTGGGTGACCAGTTATCTATCAGCAGGACTCCAATGAGAGCCTGACCAAAAAGGTCACTCCCAGTGGCGATTTGAAATTAGGGGGGATTGAGGCTCAGGAGGGTTGAAAGTCTTACCTTTCTTGGGACCTGCCTTCTCCAGAGGAGCCAGGCAGTTCTCGCCTTTCACAAGAAATGGCTGAGCATACAAGGGTGACAGGTGGCCCTTCTGGACAGCATAGGACATCAGGCGCTCCATGGCTGACAGGGCAGCTGGGCTGGGACTGTGGCCTGCAAGAGAATGAACTGTGGGAAACCTCGGTCCAGCCTGAGTCTGGGGGCTCTGGGGGAAGGACGGGGTGCCCTGGCAGCCCCTGCAGAGCTGTCAGAGCGGAAGAAAGGGAAATAGGCTACCCCCAGGTTGAAAGTGTGAAAGTCAGGGGTATGCCTGGACAGAGCTCTCAGGTGCCCCAGGATGAAGACCTTCCCTAGTGAGCGCTAAGTCTTTTTTCATCCTCTCTCTGTCCCTGGAAGAGCTGAAGGCAGAGCCATGCTCAGCAGTGCCCACTTGGCTGGGTCAGGGTTTCCCGTCAGAAGGGGCCTACCTGGGCACGTGCCAGCCTCTTTTCCTGCATTCACTGTATTAACCCCCCACCACAAACCTCAAAGGTAGCTGCTGTTATTACCTCCACTATTCATAAAGAGGAATTTGAGCTTCCCAAGAAGTAATGGGCTCAAGATCCCACAACTAACAAAGTGACACCCAGGTGACAACGAGTGGTCACATAAACAAAGCATGCTGAACACCAGAGTCTCTGGCATGCTGGGCACCACCCCAGAGCTGGAAAAGGAAGACGGAAGACTGGGGCTTGTGTTCTGATTCCTCTCCTTCCGAGTCACCTTGGGTCATTTACCTCTGAAATACGGGTTGCATGTTATATAATAGTGACCATGGGACTTATCCAGACTATTGATAAGGGCATTGAGAGGGGACAGTGAGAAACTAGATGTGCAAGAACTTTGCTAACAGTCAAGGGTGCACAGACCCCAGGGAATGGTCCTGGAACTTGTCCATGAGGATGTGGGGGCTGGGGGACAACAATAAGAACAGGAGAAAGTAGAAGGGATTCAGGGATTCAGGGATTTAGAAACCTCAAGGTGGTTTCTAAAAATTTCTAAAAAACGCAAAATCTCTGATAAGAGAGCTGGGAAGAGGAAGCGTCGACAGGAAACAGAAAAGCATGGCCTGGTGTTACAGGAGTGTCGGGGCCAGAGAGGAAGGTGTGACTGTCATTGACACAGAAGTGAGAGTCGAGGCCCAGGTCCTTCCAGGAGCAGGAGGAGAACAGGCTGTGAAGAGAAGGCTGGAGAGCACCCCCACTGAGAGAGGCCAGAAGAGGAACCTCCTGTGGGGAAGAGAGCCAGGCCAGGGGAGGACTCAGCTGTCCTGTCAGGGAAGTCAAGGGGGAGGAGACTTCCAGGAGAGAGGGAACCAACCACCCGGGGACGTGTGTGAAGGGCGAGAAGACAGCTGAGTGCTGAGAAAGAGCTAGGGAACTCTGGAGAAGGGGAGCTGGGATGCCCGTTACCTTCCTTGGTGCCGAAGAAGGCGAAGCCCAGGGAGACGTTGCTGTAGCCCTGGGTGTGCACACCTTGCACGCCCCAGCCGACACCTTCGTACACCCTGCCATCGTCCCCAACCAGGAAGCTGCCGGGCAGGGAAACAGCGGCTCAGTGGCTGGTTCCCGCAAGAGGAGCCACCTAC